GTAATTCTGAGAGGGAATGCAAATTTTACTCACTAATTGCTTTGTAAATATAGGTGAAAAAAATCCAAAAAAAAGCATATTAAGGGGAATTAAAGAAATGAAAGAAGACTGCCAAATACATCAAAAGTTTTTGTTTGGATGGTTGGTTTTGTTTAAACCCAAAATAAAATGCAAAAGTCACGTCCATAAAAGATGAGCCTATAGAAAATAATGTATTTATAAACACTTCTGTATCTGTGGTGCATCCAGAATTATGACACTGAAGCAGAGTAGCTGAATTTTTAATTTTGTTTAGGTCTGTCATCTTTCTTGATAGAAGTTCTTGATAGAAGAAATTCTATTGGATTCCATCTCAGGCTGGACCTCACAACAACAGTGCATGATACCACAGAATCCTGGGATAGTAACACACACACACAGACTTTTCTGCATTTCAATATTACTTTCTCCAAGAATTATACAGAGATTAAAAATAATTGTTCTGTCAAATCACCATTGTGCTCCAATCCATTTGGATGTTTCTACTTATGAATGTGAAGAGACACCACTGTCCAGAGAAGTAGGAAGAAGGGAAGCTAGTGGAACATGAAAACGTCTTATGATGTCAGGACAGGAGAAGGTTAATAATTTGGCCTGTAAAGATAATATGATATAAATCCATCTCTCCCCAGAACTGTTAAGTTGTGTAAGAGGGAAAAGACTAGGACATGTTTGGTTTTACAAAATAACCTAAACAACAGAATATGAGGAGGAAGCAGCAGATTCAGAAGAGCCTCTCAACTGAAAGAGAAAACTATAACCTTGTAACATCTCTGTAGTAAGACCCATGCTTTTTGTTATGTATTTGCATAGTACCTACCATAACAGGAACCATATCTAGATAAGTTATATTATTTCTTTGAAAAGTGCAACACTGAGGTAATAATGTCGGCTGGGAAACCGGCAGCTTCCTTGTAAATCTTACTTTTATGTTCAAAGAAAATAGGAGATACTATCTTTGTGAGAAAAGAAAAAAAAAGAAAAAAATGGAGGGGAGAGAGGAAAGCTGATAGCATATGAATTGTCAGGCCTGGAAAAAAAAAAAAAAGAAAGGGGGGGGGGAGAACGCAATGAAAGACAAGAACATGTGGAGTGATTTTAGTCTCAAAATTCATGATCTAACTTCAGACTCTGAAACCAGGTAGTACCTCCAGAAATAGAACATGAAGTTAAGGCCCTAAAATGGGTAACAGGTTCACTGATTCTAAAGCATTCCGCCTAAGAGCAAAATGCAATTCAAACATTCAAAAAACATCTTGAAGTACTGGAGGAACAATCTAAGAAAAAATAGTGAAATTACGATTTTCAGCAAGAATTGCTGACTTATGAAGGATAACTGATTAGTGGGTAACTCTTCAAAAAGGAAGAGTCAACAACATAAATCAGTAACAATGTACATGTCAGCAAAATGGTCTACAGGCCAGTCAGTCTCAACTCCGTGTTCAGCAAGATCACAAAGCAGATTTTCTTGGAAACTACGCTAAGATACTTGCAAAAGAGAGAGGTGATTGGCAACCGCCATGGCTTCACTAAGGGCAGACTGTGCCTGACAAATCTGTTGGCCGTCTATGATGGAGTTACAAGCATCATCTACATGGACTTGTGCAAAACATTTGACATTTTCCTGCATAATACCCCTGTCTCTAAATTGGAGAGACACAGAGCTGATGGATAGACCACTCGTTGGATAAGGAATTGGCTGAATGGTCACACTCAAAGAATTGTGTTCAACAACTCTCAGTCTAAGTGAAGATGAGTGACAAGTGATGTGGTGATTTTACTCAGCTGGGCAGCTGAGCTTCACCACAACCACACACTCACTCCCCTCCTCAAAGTAAATGGGGGAGAAAATATGATGAAAAGGGTTCAAAGATTCAAAGGACAGGGAGATCATTCAGCAGCTATTTTCACAGACAAAACAGACTAAGCGTAGGCAGACTAATGTAATTTATTACTTATTACAAGCTACAGCACTGAGACCCTCTGCTCCCGTGTGGGCTCCTCTCCATGTGCTGCAGTTCCAGCCCAGGGCCTGTTCCTGCAGGAGCTCTCCATGGGCCACAGCCTCCTCCAGGCCACATCCACCTGCTCCACCGGGGGCTCCTCCACCCATGGGGGGGCTGCAGCGTGGAGATCTGCTCCATGTGGGACCCATGGGCTGCAGGGGGACAGCCTGCTCCACCAGGGGCCTCTCCACTGGCCGCAGGGGAACTGCTGCTGTGTGCCTGGAGCACCTCCTGCCCTTCTACTGCACTATGAGGCCTGAAGGGTTGGTTTTCACTCCTATCTCCCAGCTGCTGTTGTGGATCATATGGATCAATAAACTGCTTATTGGCTCAACTCTGACCATTGGTGGGTCCCTTTGGAGCTGCCTGAAACTGGCCCTTATCTATAATGGAACAGCTTCTGGACTCTTCTCACCAAGTCCACCCCTGCAGCCCCCCACTACCAAAAAATTGCCACATAAATCCAATACAAGTGCCATTCCTCAGGGGTTGGTATTGGTACCAGTACTGCTTCACATCTTTGTCAGTGACATGGACAGTGGGATCTTGTACACCCTCAGCAAGTCTGCTGATTACACCAAGCTATGTTGTGTGTTTTACACACTGGAGGGAAGGGATGCCATGCAGAGATACCTAGACAGGCCTGAGAGGCGGGCCAGTGTGTGAACCTCACGAAGTTCAGCAAGGTAGGGGCAATCTCAAAGATGAATACAAGTTGGGTAGAGAATGGATTGAGAGCAGCTCTGAGGAGAAGGACTTGGAGGTGTTGGTTGATCAGAAGCTTAACATGAGCCTGCAATGTGCTCTTGAAGCCCAGAAAGCAAGCCATATCCTGGGCTACATCAAAAGAAACGTGACCAGCAGGTCAAGGGAGGTGATTGTTCCCCTCTGCTTTGCTCTCATGAGACCCCACCTGGAGTATTGCATTCAGCGCTGAGACCCCCAGCACAAGTACATGAGTCCAGAGGAGGGCCACAAAGATTAGCAATGGCTGGAGAAACTCCTATGAAGGCAGGCTGGGGAAGTTTGGGTTGTTCAGCCTGGAGAAGAGAAGGCTCTGGGGAGACCCTATTGCAGCCCTCCAGTGCCCAAAGGGGCCCCACAGGAATCACAGAATCATCTAGGTTGGAAGAGACCTCCAAAATCACCTAGTCCAACCTCTGACCTAACACTAACAAGTCCTCCACTAAACCATATCACTAAGCTCTACATCTAAACATCTTTTAAAGACCTCCAGGGATAGTGAAGAAAAAGAGGGTCCCCTTGTCAGGGATTATATTGATAGGGCAGGCCTGAGAGGCTCAGTAATGGTTTTAAACTAAAAGGGAGTAGATTTAGATTAGATATAAGGAAGAAATTCTTTACTATGAGGCTGATGAGGCACTGGAACAGGTTGCTCAGAGAAACTGTGGATGCCCCCTGTATGGAAGTGTTCAAGGCCAGGTTGGATGGGAGCAACCTGGTCCAGTGGAAGGTGCCTAGACAGGGGGGCTGGAATTAGATGAACTCTAAGGTCCCTTCTAATTCAAACAATTCTGTGATTATATGATTCTGTTAAACTGTAAATCCATGGTGAGGTATAAGGAAGCCTATCATACCACTATACTAAAAGTATTGGTAAGGTTTACCTGAGTAAGGTGTAGATCAGCTGAGGGCACTGCAGAAGATGGGAATGAAAATGGTCAGCAGCTATAGAACGTGATATATAAGGACAGCAAGCGTCTGGGGTTTCTTGGTCTATAAAGAAAACTGAAGACTTACATGATAACAGCATTCAAATCATAAAAACTAGATCTAAGACATTAAATGTGTGTTTTCTGCCTGCTGTGAACAAAGGAATTATCCACAAATTGGCTTGTTTTACATACAGAAAGATTCGTCTTAGGAATGGATTGCATGGGGAGGCTGTGTAATGTACGGTGCTGCAGGTAACTGAGCTAACATCTGTTAAGACTGATGCCATTCCATTATCACTACTGTAGTTGGAGGCTTGAAATAGAGGACTTCTCAAGGCCATACCTTCTCAATTTCTCCTTGAGCTCACAAATAAATGAAAAGCAGTGACAGGATCATTGGAACAATTTTCCTGAAAATGTGATGTAAACCCAATATTTCAAATATGTAAACTATTAACTTCTGTTGAAATTGAAACACGTACATCTGTTATTTCTGAGAATGCTGGAAAGATAGACAGGAAGGAGTGCATAGAAATGCATGTGTAAAAAAACTTCCAACAACAATGCATATAATATATATTTTCAGAGCACTACTTACAGAGACACTGATTATGGCTAAGCTCTAATTACATACTCTAGAGATCGTGTCTGGTATTTAAACTGAAACTCTAACTTTAGTTCAGAATTTTAGTGACTTCTTAACCCTTAAATGTTACTTACCTATGAATACATTCTGATATATAGTTTTACATTGGCATACACAATTGGAGGTTGACCAGAAGAGTAAGTTTCCTTTCTGATTTCAATGTGCAATGATATCCAAAGGATGAATGGCAATGCAGTCAAAAAAAAAAAAATACTTGAAAGGTTATCCTTGAATATGGCAAACATTCTATCAAAATTTTAAATAATACTTAAACATCAGAAAACACTTACTAGCCTAGCTCTACGCTGTCTCAGAAAAAAAAAAAAAAATGAGAGCAAAGAGCTTTGCAACTGTTTCATGTTTTTTTTTTTTTTTCGTTTGTTTGTTTGTTTTTGTTTTCCTTTTACTGTAGAGTTAGCAGTACTGTTAACAACAGAAAAAAAAATCCCTTAGGTATGAGTTAACGAGCCTCTTCAATCATATTCATTATCTCAGCAATTTAGTTTTTCATAAGCCTGTGTATAAGGAACCAAAACATAGTTCTAAATCATGTCTCACCAGTTCTGATCAGTTAAAAATGAGGATTGTAAGTACAGCTGCTACAGCTATTCTGATCTCCATGCTTACCTCATCTGGCCTATTTAGTTGTTCTTTGTGGACCCAAAACAGTTGCTCTTGTTCATTAAAAGATGTTTAAAAATCTAAGAAAAGAGTAAGGTATTCTAGGTACCCTTTACACATTATGTGCTAAAGCATAATATCATAGTTGTCTTGAGGACTGTGACCACAGCATACAGCAAAGAGTCAAGTCACAGCATTGAAGCCACTGTCCTTCACAGGAATTCAGAACAGCCACGAATACTGGAAGGGAAACCAGCTCACATGACAGGAGGCAGCACTTGGTACCAGGTTGTGTCCTGTGATGTATACTTAGCCAAAAGGACATGCTGCTGGACAAGGTGTGTTCCCTTTCCTCTCTTGCATACCTAGCAAAACAGATGCACTTGCTTATTACTGGAAATAGGGACTCAGGAGATGCTGCTCACTGCAAATCAGCTTGTCATGTAAGGAAGCACTCAGAGAAGGTCTTACAGGCAGCATGGTGGGATTCTAGGGTGATAAACTTGTAGAAGATAGGAGGTTAAGATCTCCAACAGTAAATGAAATTGAAAGGCACCACCTCTTCCCTCTTCCTTCTATCTCCCAAAATCTCAGGGGATCAGCAGAATTACCACTGAATAGTGCCTGGATGAGTACAAATAAAAAAATGTGCTCTAAATAAAATTCATTCCTTACATTCTCTCTGCCCCAGCCTCCAACAAGGTCAGGACGAAGGCTGTACTTTAGAGTAGATACTCCCTGCAACTAAGAGTCCAGAAGAGAGAAAAGAATGAAAAATAAATTGAGTACTTGCTGATCCAGCTAATGCTAAAGTCAAGGAAATCAGCAAAGCTCCTTGAGAAATGTCACAGCTTTCGATTATCTGAGGAAGCCACTCTGCATTGGATTGAAGGGTAGGAGTAAAAGGCTGCAAAACATATGGGGGGAATAGAGGGAGGGGGGACAAGGAAAAGAGAGTGAGATTATTTGATCTATTTATTCATCAACAGGAGAATCGCCTCATTTATATTTGAAAGGTTGGAAGTATTTTATCAGCAGCAACAAGAAAGCTTAGGAAAAGCCGAGGTGTTTTTTTTTTTTATATATATATATATATAAAAGATATATTCATACAAGGTATATTCATAATGTATATTTATACAAAAATTCAGATGATGAGCAACTGAAAAGTGATCGAATCCATATAATTTCCCATATATTTGGCTTGGGCTAGAGAAAAGAAATGAAAAAATGTCCTGGAATATTAAGATGGGTTTTATTATTCATGGAAGAAAACATATCAGACCTACATGCATAAGTCATGAAGAAATAATCTAAACATAACATATCAATATATCCTGTTTCAATTTGAAAAAAAAATGCAACATATACTTCACTTTATATTTTAATCATTAGGCATTCGTTTTATTTGGTTAAATCTGATGGTTTAAGATACTACTCAGTCAGTATTTTCATCAAGAAAAACATCATTGCCACTGTTATGAGTAGTTCTCACACTGTAAAGTATTACTGTATGTATTGAAATCACAGAAAGTTTTTTGACGTCTGGTTCAGATTTCAGATAAAAATTCAGAACACCAATTCACATGTCCACATATCTATTTGCTATTTCTGATAATAGTTTAATGTTTCAGGGCAAACAGGTGATATGGTGCTCTGCAAGAGTAACATGGTATATGAAGTTCGGCTGTTAATAGAATTATTTTTTCTTTTATGAAGATATTTGACTATTTAAAATTCTACTTAAAAATAATACGCAATCCTCATCCTTAGGTGAACATTGCTTCCTAAAATTAGTACACATTCTTGCTGAAGTCCAACAACAGCTCTAAAGGTTTAAATATAACACAAGATAGACTCTCTTAATGGTACTCATGAGCTGCAGTTTTTTGTGAAGCAAAAGTGCAGAACATATCTTCAAATATAAACAATCGCTAAGCATTTATTTTATTCATGGTTGTGTTCACTTTGAGTGTAAGAATAAACTTTGCTTTCAGTAGAATCCAATGGGCAGTTTATTACAGGATTTATGCCTCATGAATCACTGAAATAGCACTTAAGAAGGATTTCTGAAATGAAGATTGTAGTGTAAATAATATAACCACTGGATGTTCAATCACAATTGAGGTTTTTGAGACTTTTTTTTTTATCTGAAGAAAAGCAAATACTTAACTGACATACTGATATTGTAATCAAACATACTGTTTGAATTCTAAGCTGAAAAACTCAGAAATAAATCAAATCATTATTTTTCACAATCTTAGAGCAGATGAATCAACTGAATTTGATCTGACTTTCAGCATGAATTTGACTGAAATCTTCAGTTTCAACCTGCACTTACATTTGCTCAATCTGAAATCTGATTTGTGTATATTTAGAAAGTAAGTCATAAAACAATGACTGGGTGAAAAGTTTCAGAAAACAGTTATAAATACAAGTCATGGAAAAGGAGTCAGCAGAAGGAAGAAGTGGGAGAAAAACATGAAAGCGAAAAGAAGGGGGAAAGGTTTGTTTTTTCAACATGCAATTTTGGAATATATATAAGCTTCAGATTGGATATTAATTAGAAAATTCTTCAATGAACTAAATGACAGGCTCTGTACATCATTCCCTCCAGCACCCTGCTAAATCCTGGCACGAACTACAGGAAAGATACCATAGAATTGGTCTGTCCTCCGATTAATAGATATTGATGAAATCAACTTATATATACTCTAGATCAGATGCAGCTGCAACACAAGAACAGTTTTACTAGTTAAATGCATTACATGCTGTGACAGATTTTAGTAGCATTAGGAACAGGTTAGAAATTTATTTTATTTATACCATTGTCAGAGAGATAGTTCATCAACTACTGTAAAATTCAAATCATATTGACATAATTTCCATTTCTGCTGATGTGTAGTTAGCCACACATTAGCATATCATTTAATTATGCTGAGGTCTGCTGACATGACTGCAAGGTCTGTGCTTTTTCTGTGGACAGACTACTTCCAGAGCTGGAGATTACTTACAGTTGTGTTTTTTTTGTTTGTTTGTTTGTTTTGTTTTTTGTTTTTTCCCTTAATTTTTGTTCTTGAAATTTGCCACTTCAGCTATTTGATGTAAGTAAGCACAGAGGGAGATTACTGTTTGTTTTTGAAGTACACAACACACTTACTTGCAAGATTAAGTACCTGATTACCCAATAAATGTTAACATAAGATATTTATCTCTGAAAGTTGTTGTATTCTGGTATCTGACAGGAATGACTATTTTTTTAGATGATGTGCAACTAATGGTATTAATATCATATATACCCGATATTCTGTCAGATACAACATTAAAAAAAAAAAAAAAAAAAAAAAAAAACAAAAAAACATAGTTAATATTAAAACAGAAAACTTACCTGACCGTCCATCCCTTTGAAAGTCCACATGGTACCATTCACCATCATTCACCTTCTTCTGCAAGGCTTTTATTTTTATAGTACCTGAGCCCATGTCTAACAGCAGGTAGAGGTGACCATCAAGCATCTCAATGGCAAAAAAGTCAACCTTCACCATCTGTGGGTGTTTGGCATCTTTTTGGTGCCTTGGTTTTCCATGACTGAAAAGAATCAAACCATTTGGCTCAGTTGTACGAAAGTCAAATGATATTGAGCCTGTTTTCTTGGCATTCCACTTTGGCAAAGAGATGAAAGACTCTGGCGTTTCAAATGTGATTGGATCTAAGGTTGCAACATTCTCACATTTAAAGGCTACAACCCCATGAATCTTCATTTTAGGATCTCCTTGCTTGGCAAGTCGAGATAATTCCAACCTGACATCATTATTTTTATATACAACCTGCAAGCAAAGTAGAGACGTTACTAAGGGGACTTGAATTCTTTTACCAAACAAATACAATCCAAAAAGAGCAGATTATCTAAAGAAGAATAATAATGGCATATGAAGATGATAATTTACACATACAAATATAATAACTATAATTTATTGACTAATGATTTAATAATAGTTTTCATTAAAGTGAGCAAAGTTTTTCTAAAAATATCCTTAGAGTTAATTCAAACAGTCTGAAAGAATCGGTACATAATTCCTACTATCAATTGCAAATTAGCTTGTGTGGCCTTCATTGCTTAAAAGCTTTCTTTGCACAGTCATTCTACTACATTAGAAAAGGATTAGATTTCTTGTTCGTCCAACCCTTTGTCACTGTCTCAACTCTTCTGTTCATGTACAGAAAATGCACCAAGGTCAGATACTTTATAATTTAACATCTTTTCAGTTTGTCCTTGGGGCTGAGGAATAGTAGCATCCATGTTATTCATGAAGCCATAAAACAGAGACAATAGTATCATACAGATTGAAATAGACAAAAACCAGAACAATCTTTATGCCAGTTCAATTGGACAAAAGATAAAACCACTTACATACTTTTCCTGACTGAAGAGTTTTATGATAAAAATGAAAGACAATATTAGTTTTAAATGCAATTGACCTCTGCAACACATGCTTTTGATTCAAATCACATATTGACTCTGTCCAGAGAAAGCTGACATGATATAATCATTTCCCAGGGTTCTAGTCTTTATTAGTGTATTTTGAAATTGCCACTATTTCTGTGTTGTCAAGGATAAAATGACTCCTTAAATGAAGGTCTTCAATAGTAAAAGTGTGCAAAAGTATTTTGTCATTTTTTTTATTTGTTCAATAAATGATTTATGCTAAAATACCATTCAAGAGATGAATATGACACTGTAACATAAGCTAAAACTTTCTTCTATGTTTCTGTTTTCCATTATGCCTTAATTAGCAAGCAATTTGGAGCAAGAGCAACAGCTCAGCAGATCAGAGCAGTTTGTGCTGAGAATTTTTAATCTACAAACCATATAACAGTCAAGACTGGATCACATCTGACCTCTCATCCAGTGTTGCAAATATACAATGTAGTCTGATGCTGATTGAAGCACCAATCATTGGCTTAGACCTTATGTCCCTAATAGAGAGTGTTTGATGAATACTTAGGATAGAGTGTCTGGATTCATTTCCTCTGAAACCTAGTCTGAACACAGATTAAACCCACAGAGCAAATAAAGTGGAAGTCATATAGTAAGGACAAGAGACAGGGGATGCATGGCAGAACTGTGCTAATGTTAGAAACGACCTAAGGTGGCATACACGACAAGGAACAGTTGTTATTGAAAAAATCTTTTTGAAGATAATATAGTACTAAAAATTAGATCAATCATCTTTTCTTTTTCTTTTTCTTTTTTTTTTTTTACTCTAAGAATTTGATTTTTTTCAAATCTTGTCAACCCAGCAAATTTCTACATAAACCATGGCAGAATTAAAAATGTGTCCTAAAACACATTTGACCACTTTCTATGGCAAGAAAGTGGTGGGATTTTGCATAGCTTCCACTTCTTCCAAATCAGTTGCAAGGGGCAACCTAGACTAGACTGAAAAACATTAAAATGAGGCTGAAGGATATAGTAAAAAGAAAGAATAAATGGGCTTTTATTAGTACTAAATCATTGTGTTCACAATGAAAGCAATTAAGGCAATTAAGAACACAAGGAGAAGATGTTCTCTAATTGACAACCAAACAAAGGTAGGTACCAAGATAATAAAAATAAACATAGAAAGAGAATTGCTTGTTTATGGACATAAATTCAAATTGTTTGATATTACTGAAAGCTGGTTGACTGAATAATATAACTAGTAGTGATTATCTATGTCAGAAAACCTGAGCTGAAAAGAGAACTAAGCTTTACTTTATGTCTAAAATAGCTCTATAGGCTTTGAAATCACTTGCCAACTTAGAAACAATAATTTTGAACATAGTTTAAAGATCTGACGAATTAAGTGCAGACAGGAATACCAGAAATATTTTTTTTCAAGAACGGGTCACC